GACCGAGCTTCGAGCAAGTAACTTCCTCATGCGAGATGTGGCAGTCCGTGGACTCAACAACCTCATGAAACGAGACGCATCGTCTGTGATGCAGACGTTGGGTCGGTCTTTGGAAGACGATATCTGGCTCGCATTTGACGAAGCGCCGGAGAACAAGTCGCTGAAGTCAATGATTCAGGACTGGCTACAGCAGACTGCTTTGACAGAAACCGAGTTGTGGATCCAACGTTGTCAGAACATCATGACCAAGACACGCCACAAGGCGGAACCTGCGCCTACCACAGCTGTTCAGGCTGCAGCTGCCGATATCCCCGATGACGAGGTTGCCGGGTTTGCCTCGGCTGCTGGGGAAGGTCAAGATCACACTGCGAACGAAAGCATCTCCGGTCAAGAATTGTTGAAGTGGCAGACCCGCAACTTTGCCATGAGCTGCCTCTCCGAACTTCTGGCTACTGTGCAAGAGGCGATCCTGCCAGACTCTGCTATCCCAGCGGAGTTGGCTCTCCAGAAAAACGTAGGAGATATTGTGAGAATGGCCTTTTCCGCATCTACAGCTAATGTCATTGAGCTGCGCGTATGGGGATTAAAGATCATCGACCAGGTCCTCACCATGTTCGGTAAGACACCGGATCCTGACTTTGCTGAAGCCTCACTTCTCGAGCAATATCAAGCTCAGATTGGGTCTGCACTTACTCCTGCCTTTGCTGCTGATTCCTCCGCGGAGCTGGCCTCAGAGGCCATTAATGTGTCTGCGACTTTCATTGCTACAGGAATCGTAACAAATGTCGACCGCATGGGGAGAATCCTGAAGCTTTTGGTGCTGGGCCTGGAGAACTTCTCGAAGAATCCGGAGACTACTGAAATCGGTGACCTCAAGGGCTTGAACTCAAATGCTCGGGTCATGGTAAAGCTCGCTCTGTTCTCGGCCTGGGCCCGGCTCCAGATCGCAAGCATCGACCATGAGTACTTGATCCAAGTGGTCCAGCCTTATATTGCGAGACTCACACCTTTGTGGCTTTCTTCTCTTCAAGAATATGCTCGATTACGCTTTGAGCCAGACATCTCTGGTAGCTTGGGGACAAGCTCGAGCGGTGGCCTGGATGAGGTGTACGCGGCGCTGAATCGTGAGACTTTATTGAAGGTAAGCCTCGATCTGCCTGTTGTATGCAGCGGACACTAATAATATCTTTAGTTCTACCAAGACACATGGTTATACTTGGTTGATGCAATCGCTGGGCTTGTCGAGAAAGATATCGATTTTGTTTTCGATGCTTTGGATGGCAAGTTGAAGCCACTTCAGGAGCCCAGCGGCGCTGAGGGCGAGGAGAAACAAGAAAAAGCCACCGAAAAGGAAGAAGGAAAAGGACATGATATTAATTACCGAGAAGAGCCTGTCGCATTCTTCTTTGTCTTGTTCGGGTTGGCTTTCGAATCTTTGGTTGATCAAGGAACTTCGGCATCCCAACGATTGGAGATTCTTCAGGCTCTGAAGCGAATCCTGAGACCGGTCATCTCTGGAAATGCCATCTACCAAGATGCGATTTTCACAGAGACCATGGACAGCTTCGACCGTCTTGTTTTGACAGAAGCTACCCCCATCCAGACCGTCATTGTCGAGATTGCCCAAAACCTGTCATTAGATCACCCCGCAGCAAAGGGGGACCTGGAACGCAGCGACCATCTTTCTGATGACATCGAGCAACTCTTCGAGCTCACAAGAAGCATTATTCTTGTTCTCGCTGGAATGCTTCCCAATCTCCGCGAATCGACACCGCTCGCGCGGTTCAACGTCAGTTCGGATGAGTCTTTGACTCTTATTAGTTTGGCACTTCGCTCTCTCGTTGACGTCGCATCCGTATTCCCATCCATCATTCGCAACGATCTCCATGCTTGTATCCTACATATTTTCACAACTATCCTCGCAACTGGGGTCTGCCAAGAGGGCGTGGTTCCGCAAGCTCTGCCCATTTTCAGGCAGTTCGTTCACGGCATTACCCACACGACAGAATCACCCGAAGACCTCGAGGTCGTGTCATTCCAGCTTCGAGGATGTCTCACGCGCTTCCTGACCATTCTCACCATCGCTCAGCGACGAGAATCGGATATCTCTGTCCCCTGCGCCAAGAACACTCTCCTCGCTATCACTTTCCTTCTGACTGCCGGCGCACACGTCATCCCGCCCCAGGAACCAGTCCTGGTCCGAGTTCTAGATGAGTTCCTTGACTGTCTTCAAGATGTCGGTCTTGCCACCGTGGCAGCTAGCTGCCTCCGTTCAATTCTCGTTAAGCCAGGATCTCGTTCCACCACGGATGAAGTGATCGGTCGTTACCTCATCCCGCGACTAATTGCCTTCATGGTCGCCTGCCCTCTGGACAACGGCGATATCCCCGGCGACCCTGAAAACTCCCGCACGGTGGTTGCTCGAACGCTCGTGTCGTGCATCTCCAACGCCACTTTCTCCACTTCTGAATTGCCTGCCGCTACATCCCTCATCATGTCGGCACTATTGGCACGCGCCAAACGTGAAGGCGAGTCTGTGCACCAGGAATCCGCCGGCCATCTTCTCGAGCTTGCCAAGGCCGACCAGCTTACTTTCCGGGGCCTGGTCGCTACTATGAATACAGACCAGAAGTCACTTCTAGAGGAAGTTCTTCGCAGTGCCGGAGTCGGAGCTGTCGCTTCGAAGACTGGTGCTGATGCGGCAGACAATGCTCCCCAGGCTGCGCCGAGTATAGCATTACGCATGGATTTCTAGAGACTTTATACGGTATAAAAATCAGACAAAACACTTTACGATATAGTTAAATGACAAATCCTTTTTCATACTCAATCTCGGAAGACGTAGACAAATTCAGAAGTGCAACCGTCTATATATACATACCTAAGTAGATGGTAGAGTGCCAATATCGATCACCGGAGCTTATTTTATCCCTACCCGATATATCAGGTGACCTTCCAATTCCCATCTCAAGCTGTACATTTTGTCTGCATAGACTTCAATTTGGGGACATTTTATGCTCGAATCCTATCTTTGAGAGCGAGTCTCCGCCTGTGAGGTTGAAATGCCACCGGATCGCGGCCGTGCTTCCCGAGCATGCACCTCATGCAGAAAACAGAAGACCAGATGCTATGAGCCCGGAACTCCTGGACGAGCATGTATGCGATGCGATCGACTTCACCAGACTTGTTCGCTCGTTCAAATCGTTGCCTCAGACGAGGAATCCATAGTCCCCGCAAGAGGCACGGATGCGCGGTATGAATGCCGCAACTGATGTTTACTCTCAAACTGACAGGTTTCCATAGCTTGGAACGTCTAGAAAAGACCGTGGCTACTCTGCTCGATCGGCTTGGAGAAGGCCCAGAAAAAACTCCACGTCATGGCCCGAGTAGGCCTACCCCCGCGCAGACGAGCCCGGGATCTAGTGGTGCGTACAATGACGCGGAATCCTCCGCGGCTCCGATCATTGTCATCCGCGATCTAGCCACGGAGGGCGGCATCAAACCAATGTCCGATGCCAGATCTCTAGGGGTGGTATTGGATGAGCTTATTTCACCCGATCTCGCACTTACGCTGATCACAATGTATGCTGCCCTTTACATGAGTCACTTTATCATGACAAATTGTCACTAATATTTTCTTAGTTTCCTCGAATATTACGGTCGATGGGTTCTCTTCGATCCTGAGTGTGATCCAAGCGAGCTTCTTCCCCGAGTGAAAAAATCGAGCTTGCTATTCTGTGCTTGTTCTCTGATCGCCGTGCGGCACACTTCTGAGGAATTGGCTGCAGGCCTTGCCCCCAAATTGTATGAGTATGCCCGCTCGCTTGCTTCTACCACTGTTCTATTTGCCCCACAGCCCATTGAGTTCTTTCAGGCTACCCTCATCCTGTCCATGTGGTCGACGACTGTCGGGCAGGTACCTTTAAGTATCGATAGCTGGCTTCTTAGCGGGTTCGCTTTACAGCACTCCCATTCGAGTCCGCTGTTTACTGCTGTGTCAACTCAATCTCGTCCTCCGACTAGACTGGATGAAGAAACTATGCATAACTGCTATCTGTGGAATCATCTCTGTCTTGCTCATATGCATTATTGTGTTGGTACCAGCCGTCGATCCATGCTACAACCCTGGCAAATCGAGCGATGCCGTGCTATCATTGTTTCGGATCGTGCGAATAACTTTGAAGTGCGCATGGTGGCCGAGATCTATCTTTACTGGACTGTATATGAACACCTCATTCAGGAGTCGGTTGATTTGCTGAAATCAGTGGCAGCTTTGCAGGACTGGCGACGAAAATGGGAATTTGTCATTAGTACGTTATATTTGGCTTGTATTACCTCATTCCTGCTCATGGATTTTGCGATTAGAGCAACCGAGATCTCAGTTTCTCTCAATGGGCTTCCATTTTTCCTATCTGCTTCTATACGAGCATGCTCTGAAAGCCAACTCTTCCCGAGCCCGGGAATCAGTCGTGCCGGAAATGATCCGGCATTCCAAGGCAATTGTGAAACTGGCCATGGATACAGTAGATGAGCGCACGCGCCATTTGACCGATCATATCTACCATATGATCACCTTTGCGGCGATTGTCATTTGCCGCTTACTGAATGCCTACCCAGAAAAGGTTGCCTCGACTCATAACATTGACGAGCTTGAATTGCTCGTACCTGACTTGGTACAGTGGCTGTACTGCATTGGATTACCATGCCATGCGGCGCATACCTTGGGAAATATCATCACAAATGTCCATAAAAAATTACGACCGCACGTCGAGCTACCGCCAGCAGATCCGCAACCAGACGAGCTACTTGGCGAACTTAGCAATTACTATTTCCCAGAATTTCTTGGATTGGGGATTTCGGCTAATGGGAATTGGGATCTTCTGTCCAATATGGGTCTCTTTCCGGAAAGCCCGTCCATTCCAGGGAGGCCCGACTGAGATGCCAAGCGGTCTCAGAGATGAGTTAGAAATGATATGACGCAGCAATATGGCAACGACTCTTCACCGGCCCCCATAATGCTTTTCAATCCACCGGAGAAAAGGGAATATGGCCCCAGAGAACGCAAATGTCAACTCATGACCTATATTTGAACCTTGTCTGCCAATCAAAGAAGCAACAGGACCTGAATACCACGCGGTTTTCATACCAAGAGCAGCACCCAGGAACCCGAAGGCGAAAGCCCCGATGGCGGCCCATCCAAATGGCAAATTAGCGGTGCTATTCCAAGCGTCGAAATCATATCCATTCCATCCACGCCGGAAAATGAAATGCTCTTCCATCACTAGAGTGATGTGGATCACAGTCCAGTACCCAATCACACTAAGCAATGTCTGTAGAGTATCCGAAAAATACTTGGCTGCGCAGCAGCCGATTATTATTGCCGCGATAAAGCCAAAGGTGACCATGGCCACACGGGGAATGCGCATAGCCCAAGGTCCTAGATTCTGTGCGTGTAGTGCAAAGGAGTAGTTGTTTGGGATGTTATTCTTTCCAAAAATTAGCATGCGAATCTCAAGTTAACCACCAACTGGCGGGTCAACACCAACTGGCAGATTTATTAACTCACTGGAATTGAGCTCAATGCCGCAAGAAACATCAGGAACTTTCCAAACCCCCCTACTGGCTCCAACGCCATCTTGAGCAAACCCCCAATCGAAGAGGCCGCATACGCCTCTTTCCACGCTGCGTTCGTGATCGTACCTGTATACAAGGCTGCACCAAGAGTCTGAACAAGTACAGTAGGAACGAGGATACCTACATAGGTAGCGCCGAAGATCTGCCAGCGCGGCGTATCTTTGGGCATGCGCACATTGTAATCCGCCGCACAATTCACCCAGGAAATCGAGAAGGAGAAGATCAAAGCCATGAATGTGAGAATAGCAGCAGCTTTCTCCGAGCCCTGAAGACGCACATGGTCCTCGCCGGTGAGGTGAGAAGCACCCGTCCCAGCTGCGACACACCACACAATCAAAGGCGGGATCCAGATAAATGTGTCGACGCGATGGATCCAGTTGATCCCTAATACGCAGATAACCCAGACAGTCACACAGATCACGATGACGCCGGCCCAGATGGGGAATCGACCACCCGAGAGGGCGTGCAGGACGGCTGCGCCGGAGATAGAGTTGATTGCGTTCCAGCCTGTGGTGGCGATCATGGAGAATATCACGACGAGCATGTTGCCCCAGTAGCCGAATGAGTATCGCCTGGGAGGATTCTTGTCAGTGGGATATTTGGCGCAGAGAGCTCGTCATGGGGATCTATTACTCACGAGAATGTCGTCATGCGTAGCCCGGTTAACCCAAAAACAGATGTCCAGGCCGGTAGCAAGTTGCTTGTGATATTGACTATGAGAATGACGATGACGCAGTCCCAGAAGGGAACGCCGAGAGAACCTCCTAAGGAGCCGATGTTGAGGGTGGCCACTGCCATGTTTGCACTGAACCTGTAGATAGAAAGTGATATGTTAGTTGTGGTCTATATCCACTCATATACCAGTCTTACCAGAACGTAGCAGCATGCCAGAACTTGGTTGTATTCTGTTGTCGCTCTTCATCGGTGACCCGTTCGATGCCACCTTCTTCAATAGATAATCTTCCATGAAAGAGTAGTCGATGAGGTTTCACTGTCTCCGTTCCAGACTGTGATTTCCGGATAGATTTATTATAGTTATTCATTTCGATGAGTAGTCCGAGGTAGAAAGTAGAAGTGAACTGGTCAAATTGCAACTATATTGCCAGGGAAACACTCTCCTTTCTATATTTCCGCAATATCTCCCTTCTCTGCCCATCTTCTCTCCGTCGACAACACATTACACACTGGAGTATGCCTATCAGCATCCATGATTGGGCTTATCTCGCGCCATATCAAATGTCTCTTGGCTAATACTTGTCCCCCGCGGCATACCGCGGCATGCCGGACCGGGATGCCCTAAGAACAATGGGTATAATCCACTTCCCTCAATTTCGCCAAACATAAAGTCCCCTGCACCTGCACATGCGTTGCTTTTCTTTTCGTCAAAATTACTCAATCAATTGAACCGTCTTCAATGGAACAGCACACATTCCGCCGCCGAGGCCTCGGTCTCCGCGGAGTCGACACCGAGCGCGTCTCCCCAGGCTACGTTCTGTACGCACCTCTCACCTCAAACACATCACATCTAGTCTCAACAGCAGGCAAAGAAGTGCACCGCTGGACACTCCCCAACCGTGCCGGCCGCCACGCCCGCATCCTCGCAGACGGCAACCTCGCCTACAACGGCGCGCACCCAGACGCCCCCAACCTCTTCCCAATGTGGGCGAAATACCGCGGCGGCGTAATGATGCAAGTGAGCCCAGACGGCAGGGTCCTGCGGCAATACAGCGACCCACTGGCACACCACGACCAGAACCACCTAGACGACGGGACAATCCTGTACACGACACTGGAGCCACTCACCAGCGCCGAAGCAGGACGCGTGCGAGGCGGGATCCCATCTAGCGAAGCCCCGAATGGCCTCATTTACGGCGACTGCATTAAACTCGTCCAGCCATGGTCAACAAGCACCACATCCTCCTCCGCAGACTTCGACGGCAGCGGCGGTAAAAACGGCGCCAAGCTCCTCTGGTCATGGCGCGCAATCGACCATCTCGACACTGCTGTCTTTGCTGCCCACGCGCACTACACGCGCGAGCACTGGCCGCTTATCAATAGCGTTTCGTTCGATTCGGCGGGGGATATTATTGCTTCGTCGAGGAATGCGTCCAGCGTGTTTCTTATTAGTCGTGGCACGGGTGCGGTGAAGTGGAATCTTGCTGCGCCGGTTGTTAGCCAGCAGCATTGTGCTTATGAGATTAACGAAGCGGGGGATCTGTTGATTCTTGATAATGGTGTTTTCAGGCCTGGAATTTCGGTGCCGTTTTCGAGGGCAATTGTTGTTTCTAAGGAGGGGGCTGTTAAGTGGGAGTATAAGGATTTTTCCACTGGCGGGTTGGGATTCTTTACACCGTTTATGGGGTCTGCGCAGAAGTTGGTTGGTGGGAATGTTTTGGTTTGTGAGGCTGCTAGCGGGCGGGTTATGGAGGTTACTGAAGGGGGTGAGGTTGTTTGGGAGTTTGTTGTGCCGCAGCTGGGGGATTACAAGGAGGTTATGAAGAAGGAGGAGTTGGAGGAGATGGAGGCGATTGGGTTTGATTATCTTAGCAATGCGATTTTTAGGGCTTACAAGTATCGCCCTGAACAGGTGCCTTGGGTTAAGGAATAGTGGAGGGTTTCTAGGTCTAATCTTTGATGTGCAAAAATGAAAAGTGATTCTTGTGACTTTCATGATTTGTATGTTGTACATACCTGGTTAGGTGGGTTTGCCAGATTCGTAAAAGAAGGAAATATATCGGGTTCTGTCCAATTGGTGATACAAGAAGTGTACAGTCCCTGGTCAAGTGGAGGGATATATACATGAGACCTGGGACAAATGAAAGGAAATAATATGGGACTGATGGCTATAAGACATGGGGAGTGGAAAGTGTCAAGTTGATAACGAAAGGAGGCGCGTTAGGCGAGGGTTCATATTCGTCAACTCAACCAAGGGATTCGCCGAGATGCGCCTCAGCAGACGGAACAACTGTCTGAATTCCACCATCTTGGGCGACTCGAGTTTCAGTGACGATTTCCTTGGTGACGGCCGGCTTCTCTGCTTGCTTGACTTGCTTGGGCTCAGGCACCTTGCGCGTGGAAGCATACTTCAAGAAGACGATGATCATGACTTATAATCGAGTCAGCTACACGAAAAAAATAAAAATAAGTAGGAACAATGGGAAACTTACATGCACAGATGGCAATCGTCAAAGCGGCGCGTCTGGTCAAAATCCACCGCAGACCTTCGATCTCACTCTTTCCATCACTGTTCAGCGACACGGTGATCTTGTAGTTCAATTCCTGAACCGATGTATCAATGCTCCGCTGCTGCTCTCGCGTGGCCATCTTGTGATCATTGAACATGCCCTTGATGTCGTCTTTCATGCCTGCAAGTTCTTGGCTGAGACGCTGCGAGATAATATCCGTTTCATGCTGCAACTGCGTACGCGATGAGCGCTGATGCTGTATTTCCGAGTTGCGAGCCGTCTGAAGCGATGACTGAAGCTCAGAACAGGCTGCTTTGAATAGGTATTCCTCATTCTCGACGTCGGACTTGGAAGTGAGGCTTTCCCTGGCCAGGGAGAGGTTGTTCTGTAGGATAGCCCGCACAGCCTTCATGATTGTAGTAGACTGCTCTTGGCTGTATCCCCCTTTGGACAGATCCTGCACCAACGAATATGTGTCGAAAGGGTGCACATACGGTCCTGGGGACAAATGTGGCGGGCGTTTGTCTGACGAGGGTTCCCCTGTTGGGGCTAGGTAAACAGACGGCGAGGGCATGTGGAGGACATCGTCGAACGGAGTTTGGCCCGTGAACGAAGAGGTATCTGTGCTTTCCTCCGATGGACGTTCGGAAGGAGTGGATGACGGAGCCGAAGCCTGGTCCTGTTCAGCACCGTCTATATCTTTTGCCTGCTCCTCGTGCGGTTCCCGGTCCGTCGGGGGGTTGTCTCCCTTGGCTTTAGCTTCAGTCTGTTGATATAGGGCCGTAGTTTCCGAAGAAGCGACATTTGCCGTGTCTTGCTTGGGTTCCTGCGGTGGTGGTTCTGACTGCGACTCTTCCGGCGAGGCTTCCTCCTGCTCGGAGGCATTTACAGCCTCATGTCTAGCCGATGGATCCTCTGACACCTCCTTGACATTATCATGTGAGTCCTTCTTCGGATCCAACGAAGGGGCGGTATTCGGTTCGACAGCTGGACCATAACGTCGCTGATAGGAATCGCGCCCCCGTTGTTGACTCGTATGGAAACGTTGGTTGGGCCGGTATGGGATTCTAAGTGAGCGGTACGTTCTCGGTTCGCATGATCGCACTGCGCGCATCAAATTCGGATACAGGAACGGCAGCCTCGGTGTGGCCATGGTGGTAACCAGCATATGAAGAAGCTAACTTTGTTTCCCGCGGGGAATCATCAACGTCACCCGTCTGCGGTTATAGATGGTTAGTCAGCTCGACCTGTGCCCGTCCAGGCATGTGATTTTAGGAAGTTTTGATTTTGACTAATTTTTGCAGGTAGAAATGGCCAGAGATCGACGATTTATTTTCTACGATTTTACAACATATTGATCGAACTCTTGGGGCGAGACGAACTTCATTATAAAAATCGCTAGGTACATTCCCAGCTTTTTAGCTGAGCTAGCCGACCTTGGGAAAACCTGATTGGTTGCTGGTCCTAACCTCGGAAATTCCCAAGGATATTCGCACTCCATTTATCGGCCAAATCGTGAAAAGAGATCTTATTCAGTTTGGTTCTCAACCTTGCAAGCGTGTCGCGAACCTGCTGGGCAATGTCTAAAGGACGATAGTGTAAAAAATTCCTCCTCGACCACTACTCTAAACAATAATTCTCTATCAGTAACACTGCTTATGGCTTCAAAGGTGGTGGTCGCTGTGTTGTTTACTATGATTTCTACAATATCTGTAATACCTGGGAGAGTGCCTGCTCTAATATCTATACCTACGACGGTGCCTATGCCTATAGTGGAGTTTGCGTATGGATAGATGGGAGCATCAATCGAGCGCGAAGCAGGTAGGAGAAAACTCCTTAAAAGTCTCGTAAAAGCCGATCCTTCTTTATAATCTCTAAGGATTGCATTCGCTAATGTCGAGGCCATGAATGCCGATGCGGGTAATCGGGATGTGGCCCCACTCAAAGAGGAGCTTGCATTTCCATTAGAGCAGAGTGTTAGCGTTACTGTCGTATGCGATGGGCATATATAGGTGGTAGCAGTCAAGGCCAATGTAGAGCTACAGGTTGCCTTATCGGTCGAGAGGTTCCAGCTGTCACCCCAAGTATCGGAGTCTACTACGAACGTCACTAGCCCTTCACTTTAGTATATAGAGCTGTACTACAACTTGTCGAGATAAGATAATAAATTCGAGAGGATACATAATCAGCCAACCGCCCCTGCCGCGTCCAGCTTCGTCCACTGCTGCAAATAATTCTTAGGCGGAGAAGTTGATGAATATCTTGTTGTGGACCGGCGGGCGATGCCACGCGCGTGCATAATCTCCTGCACTTCGATCGCGTGTCATTGCTTCAAGGTATAGGCGTGGCTTGATGCGATGCGAGGGTTAGCGCTGGCACCAAACACTAGATCAAGGAACCTCCTATGTCGGGAGCATGGCTCTACGGACACGACTAGGAACGGTACGGAGAGAAAAGCAACGAGGCTCAAGCATTTGATGCTATCGCCCTTGGACTCTTAAAGGGTTGATATAGACGAGAGAATAGGGCGAGCCAACTATTTAGAGAGTGACTGGAGTTAGAACTGCATAACCGTTTGCATTGATACGGCCACTTGATAGAAATTTGCATACCAGACTACCTTCGGCACTCCATGATAGGGTGATCTTGGGACGGAGGGAATATGATCATGGCCTATCCCCGCTGTCATAATTCAAATCCCCCGCTGGCTTCTCAAACTTCAACCACTTCTCCGGCACCTCATACGTCTGTCCTGCTACCGATACCTCCGAGAGCCACTGACTAAATTCTCGATACTCCCCCTTCGTCGCGCCCGATTCCGGGCCCAAATCGAAAAACCTTCCATCTTCGGTTCCGAATCCGGATGGCACCACATCAGCAGTAAGCAGATCATTCAGAATAGAAACACCGCGACGAATCATGGCGTTCATAGTATCGGAGTGACGCTTCGTATAGTCGTCAATGGACTCGCCTTCTCGTCGTATGACATGATTGTGTAGTTCGCTTTGGAGGATGACGGAATCAGGATCGGCTCCCTCGGCGATGAGGCGGTCGCGCTCCTGGCGTGACAAAGCTGCGTAGTCCATGGGAGAATCTCGTAGACCATGGGCTCGTCGTCCGAGTCGGGAGGAACCCCATCGTCTCCATGGCCTTGAGCCCCTTCGGAGTGTATCACAGCCGAGCGTTGGTCGAGGATTCTTTGTTCGGACATCGTAGGTACTGCGGTAGTTTCCTTCAGTTTCAAGTCGTCCTGGTCTTTGGGGTTTTCCTGCGAGGAAACTAAGGATACTATGACAGCACGATAGTAGGAAACGGACAGTCCTGAGCACCTGGGCACCTGGGCACCTAGACAAATCAACACTCAGCCTGATTATTTTATTTAATGATAAAACTATTAATCGATGGAGTAAGGGTTTTAATATAATAGTTTTTTAAAGAGAAAAGGCGGAAGTATCTTATGAAAAGAGAACTTAGAGTCTTAACTATATATATCCAAAGTTGGTGAACGTCCTCCTCCAACCTGATGAAGAACCGAACCCTATGGCTGCTATTTTGAATCAGACTGTTGCCTGGATTTCAGGCGAAGTTGTATATAAGGGGCGACGCTGTAAACGAATGGCATGGTTCAGGACTTGGAAGTCTAGAGAGGCGGAAGACATCTACAAAACAACAGTGTCGTGGGGTAGGAAAAGATAATGGCGAATGGAAGCTAGCATCGAATTCGTTTGTTGAGGAGCTGAACGGTCTAAGGATGGTGGGATACGAGGCTTGGCATGCTAAGTTTGAGGAAATTCAAACATGGATGTAGAGTGTGAGCACTAGTGGCGGATTGTGAGCTTTGACCAGATAGAGAACTATATTTGAAGATACTATTGGAAGAGTTGCTGAGTTCATGAAGTAATGTACTACATATGTAATTGAGATCCATGGGAAGAAGTATGAAAGGGAACGCTAACGCCGTAAGAGTCTTCACTGTTCACTATATAGAGAGATCAGGCGATCACGATGGAATTCAAATAGTATCCTTGCAACAAATCAAAACTAATATGGGTCAAGGTGTGAGCTATGGACCTGAACAGTCCAGAAACTAATACATGCTGTCTCGCAACATAGGTAGACGCAGTATTTGCCACAGCGAGGTATACAAATGTATCACAAAAACTTGCCATCATCACCCATCTCCATATCAGTTATATAGCGCCAGCGTTTCTGCGAATGGCGTGTGTGTGTTTCTGGCCATGAGATTCAGCTGGTGGCTATCTCAGGCCTGTGGACCCTCCATGGCCCAGGCAGGACCCATCCACTATGTAGTAGCCCTGGAGTTGGAGCCCTTGTAGTAGTGCCCAGGTGCCTACTGGAGCGAAAGAGTGAAAACCAGGCTATAACAATGACGTCGAATTTCCTGGCAAGACATGTACAGTAGTATGACAAGAATGGATTTGAAGTTTAAGGAAATTTTTGAACCTGATGTAACGGACTTGGTTAACTCGGATACAACATGGATTTCCGAAGTAATATAAACTTGTCGTTGCTAAATTATATGCGTTACTACCAAATTGCCTCATTGGATCCATATATATCTTTTAGTAAAGAAAAAGACTAGGCTGGAAGAGTGCTTGCGTAAAATGCGTATAGCCTCAAACAGACGGATCTCTGTGAAACTCTTTGGTTTGCACGTCTATGAGGGCCCTGTGTTACCTTGCTCAGCCACATCGGAATACTTCAGCCTTCTTCCATCTACGATCTCCGATTTCAAAGGATAGTAGATTCGAATTTTCTGATAAAGCGCAAGATGGCCCTATTTCAATCATTTTCAGACCCGTGTTTGAAGTGAGTAAATTATGTTTTTGATACTATGAGGCATGCTAAAGAAAATTATATATGGTGCCGGATTGGTTTAAAGATGCTCCAATTTTCGAAATGCACGTTTTGAGCTCAATGAAGGCCGACACAAGTTGAAAAGTACCGGATAAGGCGCAAACCCCTTCACCTTTTCTCCTCCAACGACTTCCAGGATTCATGTAACCCGGCAGCTTTCGAAGTCCATCAAGAGATTTCGACCACACCAACTCTCGATTGCACCGGTCCAAGGTAGCAAGGGCTCTATAAATTCTGTCAGCTCGATTCATACGTTCGGTTTCATGCACGAGACTATTCGCCCAGATACTATACTGACGATGACACGAGAGAAGTCATTATCCAGCGCGGAATTCTCGATTGGTTTTGGTAGCTTCAGGACAGCCGAATGCATAACTCTACGAAAAGGCAATTTAACATGAGAGAGACGTCTCTACTAGCATGCAAGCCGTATGACTGCAACCCCGACGGAGGACTATGTCATGGAGCATGATATGTGCAGCTTGGAAGTTTGCTTGCTAGGGGTTGGATCGTGGGAGATTTTGCGAACTATATGCTGAGGACTCTTTACTTCCGAACGACGGCAGCCCTACGAGCCCAGCTCGGTTAGCCTTGATTGAGGAGATGCTGATACTCCATTCTTCAAAGATCGACTGCTCTTCCGCATACGTGGAGAATTAAAGAATTGAATGGCTTTCCATCATTCGAGGTGGTAGTGCAGTGACTCTGACCTGTTTTGACCCTGGCAATTCCGACTGTCGAGATGAGCGTAGGCTTCAAGATGCTGATGTCCTCTTGGCTAGGCTCGATACCTTGAAAAGGTTTATGGGTTCTTTTACTATGCTTTCTGGAGTTAGACCATTCTGCAGGTTCGTAAGTCAACAATATCTCTGTCTGAGCCAGTGGGTAATAAGAAGAATATACAAGTAATTATATGTACATACCTAGGTATGTATACTAAAGCCCTATAGAGGTATGAATAACGTGAACTTTAGAACAAGTCAACCAATTCAGATATTAGACATCTATTTTAAGACTTATGGATATTTATTTTCAACCCGTAGAATGTTTTCAAGGTTAGAAGGAAACAGACCCATAAATCCGTCGATGTTTGTGTTTGTTTAGGACAAAGAGCTTTTTAGGAAAGAGCAACTGTAGGACTCCCGTTTGAGGAAGGGACGTCTCTGGTTTGAAAGGCACGCGTCTGCACATATGGCCCCAGACCTCTCACTTCTCCCTTCTCTTCTCTCCATCGACTTGTTTACCTCTTCTATACACATCGACCCCTGTCACCTCAAGCTGCCAATTGACGAAGCGGCGACGAACCCATTGTCTTGTCTTGGCCTGGCTTTTCAACACCATACCATTTCCTGTCCTAGTTCTGATTATCATAAAATCTGAAGAAAATCCCGCACCCCCCCCCAAAAAAAGAAAAACGTCCTCGTCCTTCGCCAGGCGCCAGACGCGTCTATCAATCCTCACCTGTGTCAACCAACTTCCCAAGCCATAAACAACAAGCATTGAGTCTTATCACTCCAAAATGGCGCCTGTACAGACCCCGTGGACGTCAATTCTGCTGCAGGAGAAGCCTGGACTGCACGAATACAATCATGCTCTGTCAAACGTCGAAAAATACTACACTCGCTTGCAGCGAGCTATGCAAGATGGCTCCATCCATGACCAGCTGGTTCTCAACCCGGACCAAACACACTCGCGTCTGCTGAGATCCTTCGAAGTCTTGCGAGCCAAACAACTACCAGGTCCTGTTGCCGAGGAGATCTTCAAGACCATGGTCCTTCCATTCATTCACGATAACATCTTCTCGCCACCACAGATGATTCAACTAGTTGGATCCGCGCTCCCTCTTATCACAAAACAACATCCTCAGTTTCTGCGAGGCATCGCCAACACCCTCCTCTCATCAGAAGGCTTGTTCGACCACCTGGTGGCCAACGAAAATTACACGGTGGTTTTGAAGGAATGGCTGTTATCGAAAAGAAACTATCTCCCCCTTGCTCTCTCCAGGCAGGTTGGAGACAGGCTGGTTGCCATGTGTAATGCCTGTTCCGCCGACCATGGAACGGAAGCTACTGTGGAGAGTTGGAATATTGCTCAGAAACTGATGGAGTCTATCAACTCACTCATTGACATATCTTACGAAGAAGAATTGAAACGGGCAAAAGTGGAGAATCTACCTCCTCTAGAATCAATGAAAGTACTCAGTCGGGACGATAGACATTTGACCCCAGTTAAACAAGGTCCTAAAAGGGAATCGAAAAAGGAATTCAAGGTCTCGGACGTGATCCTTCAGCAGATGAAACACTTCAACATCCCACCACCGTTGTCCGCTCGGGGGCTCACTCATACATCGGAGCATCTTCAAAATGAGATAATCCCAGCGCTCATGCACTCTGTCATTGAAAGCTTCCCATGCAGAATCTGTTTGGATAGGCTCACTACCGGGGGTCTTACAGGCACTCTGGCCAGCTTGACAGACGTGCCTTCGGGTCGAACTACAGCACCCGGCAGTGCCCAAGACATTTTCGGAAAAAGAGTCGGTCTTTGGAAGGTTTTGCTGTCTGACGTTGCCTTCAAGAATGCGAAGAAATTGATCCGCGGAGGTAAGTCTGGTCGATCACCTGATTGCCTCCATCCTGTGCAATCTGGCAGTTTCTAACCGTATCTAGGTGACTTCGGCGTGGTGGAACAAAAGCTCAGAGATTTGGCAAGTGGCGAATGGAAAGGCAAAGGTCTATCTCGCCGCGTGGGTTCCAAGCAACAGAAGAAAAGAATGCGAGTTCCTATTTTGGAAGTGAGCGCTTCTGCAACTGTGTCAATCTTGTGGCAGGTCGATGTCGGCTTTTACGACGAGCTGCCCTGGGTGCAGCAGCATATTGTCAAAGGTAAGTAGCTTCAAACCAGCTCATTGAGACTTGCAGTAGCTATGCTAACTTTGGCAGTTTGGCAAATCGTGACCTCGGAAGAGGAGGTATGGGTCTATATCGAAGGATATGAGGAGTCTGCTGACTTGGTTTTACAGTTGGAAACTGCCATTGAGCAAATACTTTTGATCCAGGAATCCTACAGCTCGGAACTTGTTCAACTCTGTTTGAAACGTCCTGTTCAGCAATCCGATGGAACTTGGACACCACAGCGGTTCGGAAACGTGAAAGAGACAGGGTCTTATCAAATGAAACCCATTCCTTCTTCCAAGGCAAGCCCAGTTCTTATGGAGATGTCAAGTATGCGTTTATCCCCGTCAATACTATCCCAGGCCCTGTGGTTTGTAAGCTAACCATGAGTTTCAAGACAAATTTTACAATCTCACAGACCCATTTTTGAAGTCGATCATTGATGAGAATGGCACGGAGGAGTTTCCATTTGATCTCTCTCCCGAGGAACTAGAAATTGTGAAGCACTTCAGCACATCAAGCTTGATTCTAGGACGAAGTGGTACAGGAAAAACCACCTGTCTGTTGTTTAAGATGCTTGCCAAGCATAAAGCAAGGCAGTCAGCCTCGGATGGGCAGCAAGCTCGACAGGTATGTCTCTCTGTTCTCATAATGTCGGGTAGGAAATTGACATGAATAGCTTCTCTTGACTCGCTCCTCCTATCTGGCTTCAAAGCTTCAAACATATGCCAAAAGTCTGATAGACGCTCAGTCCAAGGCTCCACCGACTGAAGAGGATGTAGACTCGGATTTGAAACCGACTTCGTTCTTCGCCCTGAAGAATTGCCATTTCCCAGTTGTCTGCACTTACGACGAATTTCTTGGGCTGCTGGAAAATACATTCAGGTTTGAATATATACAATGCCAAGTTGTCAATATTTTCCTGCTAATTTGAAGTAGAATGGCTGATCGAAAAGACTTCCTAAGAGACATCAATCCTAACAAGGCAAAGGGCCTGGACACGCAGGTGGGAGACAAGCCACGAGTAATTGACTTCAGCGTTTTCAAAACAGAATATTGGGGCTCTCTAAGTGGGTTAGCTCCACCATCTTGCTCTCCAGAGCTCCTCTTTGCAGAGATAATGGGCGTCATTAAAGGCTCCAGCGTCACGGCAAAAAGCCTGAAGCCGTTACACCGTGCAGAATATGTCAAGAAGAACGCTAAAGCTTCTCCCGCCTTTACCTCCGAGGCAGAGCGTGAGAAAGTATTTGGAGCCTTTGAGCGCTATGAAAAGCAAAAGAAGCTTCGCAAGGAGATCGACGAGCTCGACCGTGTCAGTGCCTTGCTGATATCTCTGAGAAATAAGAAAGCTCTAGCAGAGCAGATTCAGCGCTGTTTTGAGGAGATCTATGTTGATGGTGGGTCTATTTTTCAATATTCGACAGCAAAGTACTAACTGCGTGTGTAGAAATTCAAGACTTGCGTTGTCTGGACATTATCCTACTTTTGGGCTGCCTCAGTGACGCTCGTGGGATTCACCTTGGTAAGCTCTCCCAAACTTGATCCATGGCTTAACCAATTAACGGGAGTATAGCTGGTGATACTGCCCAGTGCATCTCAAAAGATTCAGTTTTCCGTTTCCCTGAGATAAAGGCATTATTCTACAAACATTACGAAGTCGTTGCCAATGAACTAAATCAGCCGTCATTTGCCAAGCCTGTTCAATTTTCTCTGGCTAAGAACTATCGCTCACATCAGGGCATTCTAAGTTTTGCATCATGGGTGATGCAGCTACTCTGGCATGGTATGCGAAGTTGCAAAGCTCAGACCTGCCTTTATCTAACCTTTCATGTACAGGATTCCCGGAAACAGTTGACAAGTTGGACCCAGAGATTGGCTATATTGGAGGACCAAAGCCAATCATCTTTGGTATGTCGTATCTTTGCATTGGTATTCAATCACTAATTTCGTCACATAGCGGGATTTGACTCCTCGATTCTTTCTGCCAAGATGATTGGCCTAGTCAAGCTCAACGACAAGGTCGCCGATTTTGGCGCTGAGCAAGTCATCCTTGTCCGAGACGATGCATCAAAGGACAAACTGCAAACCCAAATTGGCGAGATTGCTCTTGTCTTAACAATCCTAGAAAGCAAGGGTATGGAGTTTGATGATGTGTTGGTGTATGACTTCTTCGGCAGCAGTGGGCTTGGCAGTAGCTACCGGTGCCTTCACATGCTTGTTCAAGCACCACGAGCGCAGTTTGACGCTCAAAAGCATGCGGTGCGTATTCCATGAAATAACCAGCCCGTTATGATTGCTAACATGTTCAACTAGGCTTTATGTTCCGAACTCAAGGTATATCTATTCCTTTGCTAACGATCTTTCTTGCTAACCATGATGACCAGTCGCTTTACGTTGCTGTTACTAGGGCTCGAAAGCAACTTTGGTTCATGGAAACCCAGGAGAACAGCGTTGATCCCATTCTGCAAACGCTGTCACAGAGCAACAGCCTCGAGCTTGCTGAAGTTGTGAAGCAGAAAGACCCTGATGTAAGTGATCCTCTAATCCAAATGACTCCCATACTCATCTCTTTTAGGTTGCGGCAAAGGTAATGGTTCTGCGGGCCGGCGGCTCGGTGGACCCAGAGAGATGGCTCAAGAGAGCAGCACATCTTCTCCATCGGAAGAGCTTTGCAGAGGTAATATACTGTTCACCAGCCAGAGGAAATATCCGTGCTAATGAATGTTTAACAGGCATTGTTTTGCTACAAGAAGGCCAACGATCCTCGGGGAATGACACACTCACAGGCGTGTCTGCATGAGCAAGAAGGAAGATCCTACCGAGCAGCTGGAGATACCGAAGAATTCACCGCGTGCTACGAAAAGGCCATCGTTCTTTTCCTCGAGATCGGCCTCATTTCAGAAGCGGCGATGTGCTACGAGGGGCTTGGGCAGTTTGGCAAAGTTGCTGGTTTGTTTTTCAATCGCCTCGAGCCTGAAGAATACTGACCTCTCTTCTAGAAATCTGGAAGGCTCGTGGACAATATCAAAAGGCTGCTTGTTTCTATGAGAAAGGAAATTTTTTCACAGAAGCTTCGGAGTGCTATCATTCTTGTGGTCAGTATGAGGCAGCAATCGAGGTCTTACGCCGTGGAGACCAGTTCGATCAACTCGTCACCTATGCCAACAGGTTTTTACACCGATTTCTCTCTACATTGATCACACAATATTGACGCTGTATAGGAATCGCGCGTACCTCAGCGAGCCCACCTTGCTTCGATACTCGAGACTCTGCAATATCTTGCTGAAGCAGGGACGTGTCTCTGCCAGTCTGAGGGCGATAACCATCAACATGCTTGGATCAGATGTGTCCAAGATTGCTTTTTTCAAAGAGTTCGAAATGTGGGACCAACTGCTTGCGCTCTATTCATCAAAGTCCAGATGGTTTGAGTATTACGATCTATCAGTCGCTGTTGGTGACATACCTGCGGCGATAGGCACCTTGCTGGTTCAGAAATTGATGCCAGTGGTCGACAAGCCAGTTGTCGAGAAGCTGTTCAATTATGCTATGGTCGAAGCTTTGTACGCCCATAGAGACTTAATTCCGGCCAAACCTGAGCGAGATGGGCTGCTGAAATCAGTCAAAACGACTTACCTCGAAAAACTTGGGGCTCAGTGGAGAACGTTATTGCTGTTGATCGACGATTTTGAGGATATGGATTTACCCGCTTCAGTTAAACACCTGGATAAAAGTCTTTTGAAGGATATTTTCTGTCTTTTTGTTTGTTTTGAATCTTACAAGCATTTGTGGGTATTGAGCTAATTATTTTCAGGTGATCGCTTTCGAGCCGTCAGTGTTCACCAAGCATAAAATCGAACATCTTCCAATGGATATTGTCATCCGAGTTGGAAAGCTGCTGCAAGACCTTTATGCCCAGAATCAGTACTCCCTTACTTGCCTGGCTATGGTTTGTGGAATTTTCACCAACCCGAAACAAGAGACGCAGACGATCTTACTTCATTGGTCTCCGCTGAGGAGTTACGCAACGACATCTCTTGATGGATCTTCATTCGAGAACTTGCTTGACATTGCGAAAGATTTCATTCAAGAGAAGTTTGCCGCAGCACTTACTCAGTTCCATGAAAACACAGGCTGTCTCGTGAAGAAGGATTTTCCACCGACATGTTTCCAACAGCTTTACAAAGGTAAGTAAGCTTTATCCGTTGGCGCCCTCGTCTCAAAATATCTAACAACTTCAATCAGGATTTTGTTCAAAGCTTAAAGCCAATGAATGTTTCTGGGGTCATGAGAAGCCTACCGCAGAATTCGCTATTGCGAAGTTGAATGTGAGTAAGACACCGGAGAAGTAATAAGAGATCAACTAACAGGTAACTCCCGCAGTGCCTTCTCACCATTGCTGAGGTTTTTGCGCGCCTTACGCCTGTTTATTATCAAAGAGTTATGGGTGAAGCTTTCAGCAGACCATTTCTGGGTCGTAGTAAGTGGTCGGTCCAATCTTGTCGTACGTTCCAGATCTGACATACTATAGGGAGAACTTGGATCCAACATATCCAAGAGGAGCTGGTGATTGTCAGTTCACTGGAGCAGTCCTGTACTGCAATTGCAAATCTGCGTTCCAACTTGCAAAGCAATCCAGAGTTTGCTGCAACCGCATACTGCCTCGAAGAGTTGTTGTTCTATCGCATGAACAAGGAATGGGGTTCGATGAGCAGTCTGAGCTCTTCTCTAGAGAAGGTCCAAGAAGCTCAAGTTCTCGGTATGATGGACTTTTTTCCTGAAACACTAAAAACTGGCTCTAACAATCAATCTAAATTTGCAGGCCCTCACGCAGCCACGCGTTTCCAGCGAGCCCTTGTTCTGAACATGGAGCGCAGTATGCCACCACGCCCTAAGCGATCCGGCCATGCGCTCGCGTTGCCTTTGACAACGTTGAATGCTGCTGAGAGAATTCGGTCAGCGGTTGCAAGACGCAACGCTCAAGACTTTGTGAGACATTAATCTAAATTGTCTATCGAACTATACTAACCGTTGTATAGCACAACGGCATCAGCGCCTTTGTCCAATGTCTCGAGAAAACACCCAAGTCCTCCCTTGGGTCGCTCCATGCTGTTCTTTCTGTGCTCGAATTTTCAGCTACGTACATTGTATGTTTCCAAATATTCTCGATGATACAACAGGTTACTAACATTGTGCAGCTTTGTATCGCCAATCCAGGAAGGGGTATTGTGATTCCCTGGTCTTGGGCCTTGCAGCATCTTTCGACTATTATGCAATCACCCGCTAAAGACTATGGGTTCAAGGACAGAGAAATCCGAGTGCATACGACCGACTTGATGAACATTATCATCAGCTTCTGCAACCTCATGGAACAGGTCGAAAATGCCCTCACTAACGGCATTCTAAGATTCCAAGGACTGGGACGCAGTAATCTTCCGATCCCTATTGTCAAACGGCGCTGCACTGAGCTTCTGACGACCGTGAGTCTCAACCTGAACCATTGGCCGAAGCAGCCAATCGGTTTTAAGGAGATGGAGAAGGTGGTTAACAAGGTATGTGTCTTCGCTTATGGAAATGTTTCCTAAATAAGTTTAACTAATTATACTGAAAAAAAACCAGACACTACGATCAACTCTTATTCCACCAGGAATGGCACTGGAGTTTTCCAACAGTGATAGGTTCTGGCAAAGTTGCATCCGCGAGTATGCAGCCTACAACCACAAAGACGAGCTGTGTGTCGTTGCGCTTGACGATAGGAAGTCCGCTCCCCTCTTCCTGCGGTCTTTCACACAAGGCAACGCGAAATTCGCCCAGCTAAGTGATATCTTGCGGGTGTCACGCATTGCCGAGAACCCCCTATCCATGGGGTTGGAAGAAGACTGGCAAATCGACGAATACAGCGGCTACGAGCTCGACATGATCACGAATCTTCAGCGGCGCTGGCGACAGGTGATGGAGGTCCTCGAGGAGAATCGCCGTAAGGCACAAGCCCGCGAGGGCAAACTTATCCAGCACTTCCACGAGGTGTGCACGAGAAGGATGAGCGTCCCACCCGCGTCCGCTTGGTCAACTCGGGATAGAATACATATGCGTAAGGTGATATTTACCGACGGTTTGAAGATCGCCATGTCTCTTGACGGTGTTCTTGGCAGCTTCCGACAACTTAAGGACCGATGGAGGCAACAATTCGACAGCAATTGGTCCACTGCAAAGCTAGAGGAGCTCTCTGTCATTCGTGGACGCATTCTGCCGATCGATGGTCAGCTTGAGTACATTGTTGAGCACTGGTCTCCTAAGGGCATCGAGGAGGGTATGATGACCGTTCCGGCTGAGGACCTCGGTATCTCAGCCCGTGAGGCCCAGCGCGCCCTCTGGGCTGTTCAGCGCGAGATTGAAATTATTCGGTCTCAGGTTGAAATAATTGCAAAGAGTGCTGATAGGTAAGGGATTCTCTTCCCTTCCATGATAGATCAGCGGAGGCTCGACAACAGAAAACCGCCAAAAAAGGTTTGAAAACAAAAAGGCAACGAAAAAAAAGTTAACGGGCGATGATTTGTGTGGAACGGGACGAGGTAATTTCTTTAATATCTGGCTTCTGATCATTTATGGCTGGACGAGATACGATTGTATGAAGTGAAATGTATGATATCTTGTCTACATACTACATATGTAATGGATTATTGTCTGCGTGCTACGAAATCAACGTATTTCTGTTCGAAAATAAATTGAGGTACAGTACGTATCCACTGCTTCTTAAAAGGATAATGTAAAGCATAGATGGGCTGTTGGCAAGACGCAGCATCCTCCTAGAGAACCACTCAGTGTCCTGCCAAGAGACCAAACAGCAGCTCTGTCCGAGTCCAATACCCAGTTGCAAGCTTCTTGATAGTCTTGACATTCTCCGCACTGGAGCCAGCGCTCTTCTGGGCACGCTCGATGACACCAGCCAGCTGATTTCGCTCGCCTAGCATTTGCGACAGATACAGAGAGTCGAAGAAGAGCTGAACCTTCCAGTCGTGCAGGCCCTCGGCTTGCTCCGGATCAGGGCTTTGGGTCTCTGATTTCCCCGGAGTCTTATCTTCCTTATCCTTGTCTCCGTTGGCAGTGGCTTGGCCATCCTCATTTTCAGCGTTACTAGGAACATCTTCGCTGTCGAGGTCATCCAAAGCAGATGAGATAGCCGCCTCGAGTTTCGTTTTCAACTCCTGCTTCAACGCCTGCACTGTGGACGGATCCCACAGGTCCAATCCGCAGCTGTCCATGAAAGAAGTGAGACGGCGCAAGAGCTTGAAGCTCAAAGCCGAGGGCTGGACCGGTATGGCAGGCTCGCCTTCCCAGAGTGAGCGGCCAGGCACGGTCTTGATCTTGGCTGTTTGGGGGTTGGTGTTTGAGGACGGGATCAAGCTCAGCGAGCCAGTCTTGGCGACCACTTCTGTTGCAAGCAACTTTTGTAGACCAGGGACGATTTCGCTCGAGAAGGCAAAGTCTCCAGATACAAAGCCGGCGGGGATATCTCGCCGGACGAGTCGTATAAGTCTCAGTAGGAAAGCAGCTTTTTCGCTGGAATGCGAGGAGTTGAACGAGTTGAACGCGCTGCTGAAGGATGTCTGGAAACTGCCGAATGCCTCGTGGACAGCAAAGTGGAGAGAATCGGATAGGTGTCGGGGGTCGTCTTCGTTGAGTCGAGGTGTGATGTCGATATCTTCATCTTCGACTTCACCTCCGACGAGAATGTCGGTCCATCGCGTGCGGCGTAGAGAGTCGATGGATTCGTTGACTTGTTGGATTGACGCCAGCCATGCTTGATACTTCGTCAGGACGGTAGAGACGTCTTCGTCACGACCCAATAATCTGTCCGCGACGGTCTGTTTGAATACCTGTGCGCCATTCGTGTATTCTGCGGTAATGAGATCGGCATCCCACAGAGATCCGACGGAGTTGTGGTCGGTGTTCTCCCAATCTGATAATATAGATGAAACCTGAGCACCAACTTCACCTAGGCTTTGTGCTTGCACGTTCAGGACTCTGGCAAGCTGGTCATTGAAGATATTTCGAAGACTTGTGAGAACATCCACTGAGCCGTGAATGACAGTGGAGCCCCAGGATGTTAGCCACAATTCCAGAGTCTCTGTACGGAGCGAGAGGAGCTCGGTGAAATCGGTACTGTGGGCCAGGCTCTTTTGGCAGCCTTTGGAGAATTTATTGAAAGCCTGAAGCGACCATTCCTTGATTGATTCCACGCCCTGTGTTCTGTTTAATTCGCTGAGCTTTATCCAGGGAGTGAAGTTTTTCACATCCGGAACTACCCAGCGGCCAAGAACTTCAACCTCCAGGCCATCTAGACTCTCAATATCTGGGTCGGCCAGGAGGGGTCGAGCTTTAAGTTTCAGGAGCACATCTGAGAACCGATGGGAATGCAAGACCTTTGAGGCCTGGAGTGTCCGAACAAACAGCTGGAGGGCTCTAGGAATGTTCTCACGAGACACATCCAACTGGCTAACAATAATGTCCAAGCGCACTCTGTGAAAATGATGGATCGCATCGTCAGAAGAAGAGCTCGTTGCAAGGCAATAGGCCGCCAATGATTCAATGATAGTGTCTTCTGTAGCGCTTGTAGAGACAAGACGTTTATTAATCCGTTTGAAAAGTGTTTGCCGGAGGGACGCTAGCTGATTCCAGAGATCATCAAGGAATGGGGGTAGTGATTCATGTTTCGATAATGTATTATGCAGTAATCGGGAAACAACTAGAATCTTCGCAACCAACAGGAGCGAGCTGCGACGCCGCAAAAGCCGGCTGATAGACGTTGTACAGCGGTGAAGGAGAGAAAGCTGCGCTCCAAATGCGTGCTTCGCTGCGTCTATGCTCAGTGTCAGCTACTAAATTCCTGATTTCTCCAGGGCAACCTAGGTAGTTTTGTACCTTTCTCAGCATCACCCGTCTTTATTTGCTGGACATGAACATGCTTCCTTTCTATAAGTCGGGGGTTGCACCGGCGTCCAACATCGGCCAGAATGGATTCCACGTCTTGAATGTCTCGGTTCATAGCCACAATCGTCTCAGCAGTTCCCACTAAGTCACGATATCGCGTCCTGTGATCAAATCATATCAATATTAGTGAAGGAACAGCTGCTCTGGCAAATGAATCACCTACCCCACGAGAGCTCGGAGCTTCTCCTTATTGCTCGAGATGTCCCGGCGCAGCTCCTGTTCCACGCGGCGGACCGTTGGAATCGGGTATTGAAATGCATCTTGCCACGACTTCAAGCTTGAAGGATCAGGCGCCTCAGGAGCCATGCTGGTGGGATATGCGGTGAGACCGTTGGTCTATAGAGAACAAGTAATCCATGCGACACGGATGCCTGAGAGCCTTAGACCCCTGGGCCCTCGGCCTTATCAGTATCGGCACGTGATGGCAGAAAAAGTCCCCCGCCACCGAGGGGAAATCGGTCGTCGTCGGAACGATCTTAAACTTTACACAACTATATTATTGAATATGCCGTTGATTGAATCGGACGCTGCTATGGCAGAGGCATCATCACACGACCTCCCAGATCGCCTCCCTTTTCCGCCCACCACCTACTCCCATATCTTGCATTGCTCCTATCATGACTGGCATCCGCGGTAAGCTTCCATCCATATATGACTCAACATTGGACATATCTGACAGAAGTTCTAGGTACCGCACACTTGCTCCCAAGTCGCGCGTCATTCCCTTGACCGCTCCTTTTGTCGAGTACCTCCGTGCCGACGGCATTGTTCTTCCACCAGAAGCGGCCGCCCCAACCGACGATGATAACCTAGACACATTCTCCGATTCAGGCGAGGAGGAGCCCGATCCATCTACAGAGTGGCAGGAGATCCACACTCAGATCAAGAATACTATCTCTGAATTTGGTGGCATTGTCACACCGAAACTAAACTGGAGTGCTCCCAAAGATGCTACATTCATGGCCGCCACAAACGACACCCAATGTCGTTCTCCGAATGACATCTATCTCCTCCTAAAAAGTAGTGACTTCATCACTCATGATCTGGATCATCCCTTCGACGACTGTGTCCCGGATACAACCTGCGACGCGTCCACGGTCGACTCGCCGCTGCCGGATGTCCCTTATTCTCTGGTTCTCCGCAAATATGTCAACTTCAACCCTTCGCTCGAGTTCCGTTGCTTTGTGCGCAACCGCATACTGCTGTGCATGACCCAGCGCGATCAGAACCATTTCGACTTCCTCTTCCCCATGCGTGATATGCTCCGGTCTCGAATCCAGTCATTCTTCGATGAGAAGCTCAAGAACACCTTCCCCGAATCCAACTTTGTATTCGACGTGTACATCCCCGCACCACACCAGCGCGTCTGGTTGATTGATATCAATCCGTGGGCGCAGCGTACCGACCCGTTACTGTACAGTTGGTTGGAGATTCTCCAGATGAAAGATCCGATTGGTGTGCAGGAGGAAGAAGATGATGGAGCGGAAGAGTTTGTGAGAATTTCACTGCAAGATGGTAAGATAATGTCTTCCGGCACGGCAGAAGAACTCGAAAAAGAAGATGATTTGAGTTCCGACTCGGAGGAAGAACGTGAGGGCGCCGAAGGAGATGACAAACAGGCCCCCTTCCTCCCGGAATTTCGTCTCATCAAGAAGGATGACCCTGAGGCATACGCGTTCAGCTCCACTCAATATTCGGCTCACAAGGTGCCCAGGGAGCTGGTCGATGCTTCGCTTGAAGGGCCTGGAGGCATGAGTGAATTCATGGGCCAATGGCAGGATATATTGAAGAAGCAGGAGCAAGAGGATCGGGCCGCTGACAGTGACTCTGAATAAGACAATCTCGACTCGAAAAACTGAATTGGATAAAAGCATGGATTCTTGATCTAGTGGCGTTTTACTACAGCAGGAAATTGACTCTCTGGGGATTGCAAGGTTGCATTGTGGACTACAGATCAATCCACGCATTTTGAATGAATAAAATCGATATATAATTGTCGCTCTTGGTCTCCAGCAGTCACAATTACCTACCTAGGCAGAACTCTGTCAGCGTGTGTATTGTGTCTATTACTTCTATCCTTCGTCTTGAGGAAAATATATCGACTCGGACCTCCTATATGTTTGTTTGAACTTTAAAAAAGGACCTTGGAAAAGAAGAGGAGGCATCCGCACCCTTTATTAGAATAGCTATATACAAAGATACCATCGAGCAACTAAAGTTTATGCCTCTTCTCACCAGACGCCAATCTCCGGAACTCTTCCTGCGGGGTTCCCTTCATAAAGCGCTCAAGCCCCATAAACGCCTCGAGACCATTCTGGCGATCCAAAAGCTCCCTCTCAGGCCGTCTTACCAGCTCCTTAATCTTCAACAGACTAGTCTGGTTCAAGTGTGTACCAAGATGGTCATCGACCTCCTCAAGCACCTTCTTCAAGAACCCATCAGAATCCTCCTTCTTTCCGGACTCGGGCGTAATAACCTTATTCACGAAGCCAGTCGAAACAAGCTCGTCACAGGTAATTCGCTTGCTCATGATGAGTGCCTCATTTGCCTTGGCGATGCCGAGGCGCTCGACGAAGGCACGACTAGCGCCGCCTTCGGCGACGAGACCAAGCGAGGAGAAGGGAGTCAGAATGAAAGTGTGCGGGGCAGCGTAGATGAAGTCAGCGTGGGCGACTAGTGCTGCTGAAAGACCGACGGCGGGCCCGTTCAGTGCAACAACGAGGATCTTGGAGTGGCTGTAGAAGGTGCGGGTGACATCAACGTTATTTGCGACAAAGCTCTTTACTAGCTCGCGGCGCACGTTCGCGTTGGTACCGTCGCTACCAGGGCGTACGCTAGTTACATCGGCTCCGCTGTGGAGAAGAGATGAGTTAGATATGGTAGGTCTGTCAAATTTCCTTTTTGGGATATAGTTGCAGGATATCTAGGGCTGGGCTGTGGCTGTGAATGACATACGCGGAGAAGAAACGTCCTTTTCCGGTCAGCACTGTAATGAAAATATCCTCTCTTGAGTCAATCTCGCGTAGACGGTCGCCTAGAAGGTAGTATAGGTCGGCATTGAGAGCGTTTAGCTTGTCAGGCCGGTTGAGTGTCACAATCGCTACTCGATCCTGGTAGGTAACGGTAATGAGATTCTCGTTCGACATTGTTACTGTATGTATATTTTAAAGAAAAACTGTTCAATCAAATATGAAATTAAACTGGGTTTGCAATGGTTTATCAATCCTCCCTAGTTCTACGGAATGCCCGGGTACAAGGCGAGTTTGCGGGGAGCCGAGGCCCGCGGTGAAGCTACCAATTGGTGCCTGAGGCAAAAGTTAGATCCTGTTTGTCTTGTTTTCTCACAACCGATCCGTGACTGGTCCACAGGCCATGGCACCACTCGGCGATTAAAGATCAATACACATTATCGCTGCTCTCTGTCTGCTGAAACCAGGCGATATTACCAGTTACGCATCCTGACAATAACGTCGATCCTCACTCCGCACTGCTAGCAATACCTGAAGCCAAAACACGCCGAGGAAAAAAAAGCGACGATTCAAACCCATACAATGTCGCAAATCTTCCGCAAGTTGCAGGGAGGCAACCTCGAAGTCCTCAAGGTGCGTAGCTGACTATCCAGTCACTCGAGCAGGCAATACCAGATCCCGTCTCCCTCGCCTGTTCTCGGGGCTAACGGAGTCCATGTAGTTTGGGATGTACGTCCTCTTCCCCATCGGCTGGATGTACTATTTTGGTACCAACCTCGACGACCGCTTTGCCACGAAGGGCTTCTGGCCCACTGCTGAACAATCGCACAAGATCCCACTGGATAAGGAGGAGATTGACAAGGAGCTGGCACGTATGCGCATGGTGGATGCCATAAAGCGGGAGCAGAGACAAGTGGCGGAAGCTCAGGCTCAAGCGCAAGCACAAGCGCAGATCCAAGAAACGCAGAGTCAGCAATAAGGCTACGATTAGTGGGTATGATTGGGAGGAGCTAGTGGCGTGGTCTGAAAGACGACATGCGCTCATTGTCTAAGTCCCCGGGAAAAAAAGGGTCTTGCGAGAAGGAGCGCGTTCGCTCTTGTTTGGAAGATTCATAATTGCCGAGGACAATATTGGCATCGCGCTGGGGAGTTACACATGTGCTGATGATGGGTTTACTTGTACAACACTCTGCTCTGGGCATCGAGGGCGTTCTGGATTTTCTTTCTATATGTTGCATTATTCAACACCATATTGGTTTTTCCTACCATCTACGATGTACTATCTACGTTTCCTGTACATCATTCTGAAAATTGTGTAAATATCAAATTCAATCATGATCACGTTCCAATGATAACACAAAACTGGTAACAATCGACGACAGAACTCTGCCAAGAAAGAGGCATATCTATACACAGTGTGGTCGAATGAGCCAAGAAAAAAGAAAAGACAAGAATTAATAATAATATAATCCGCCGCACTGCGACAATGCAAGTCAGGGATGCCGCAGGTTCCCAGAACACAGGAACTCCAAACAAGCGCCGGCCGACAGGAAGAGTGGATACGAGGTTCCCTTGGATATGAAACTCCAAGGGGATTAGACGGTTCCTGACTCTGGGTAATAGAGAATGCAAATGCAACCATTATGCGTGTGGGGCTTTTATTCACAGTTCAGCCATGCGCTCGGTCGAGGTGGCAGCCGCGTTCTTCGCCGTCTCGTACATCATGTCCCCAATTTGAGTAGCCATGCCATTTTCGCCGAAGACCGAGCTGATCGACAACCGACCGGAGCTGAACAGGCGCTCACCGGCCCAGTAGTAGTAAAGGCGGCCGTAGATGGCGCGGAGGTGGTCGGGAAGGTAAATGTAAGTGCCCATAGCGATCATGGCGATAAGGCCAAGGAGCAGTGTGTCTGGATAGAGAATTAAAAGTCAGCACATGGCGTACCAAGAGTAGTCCGGACGGGGAGACTGGCGCAACGTACTGAAGATGAACTTCTCGATCGGAGTAAGCATGTAGAGGGAGAATGTCACCTCATACTGGTAGATCTTCAATCGCATCCAGCGGAAGAGACTAGACACGGTCCAGATAATGAAATCCATTGTTGCGGGGTATTCGGTGGATTGTAGGATGCTCCCGTCTTTCGTTGCTTCGTGCGGCTTGTGGTGCGTGCCGTTCGTTTGAGTCTTTTCCCCTCTCTACCAACTGGGCAAGAATCGCCAATGACAAACGGGGGAAACTGATCCAGAGACAGTTGTATCAGACACGGGAGTGCCCGCACTATATGTATTCCTGGCTGGAGTGTGGTGTTGTCAAAAAATGAGCGATGGTGTGGTGTTTGAAATCAATGCGGCTTGAGGAAGTGTTGACGTGAGATCGCCGGATATCGCGGGGAGGTGGGCAATTAGGGAATCTTCGTTACAATTAGGGAGAGCGTGCTGACGAGAAACGTTGAGGTGGATTGATGATACGAGTAAGGAAAAGAGGGCGGATAAGAGTTCACGAAGCTGGGAGAACTGCAAAACCCTTCCCCTTTCCGTCTTTGCCGCGAGAGCTTGTACCGAGTACAAATGGTTCGCTGCTACTCCACACCTGAGTTTCAGGTACTTGGTACCTTTTGTTTCGGAGTATGTACAATTTAGATGTCGCGACGTTCGATAGTATAATTCTACATAGTATATCTATATGCATAGCCCATCATTTATATCTTCTCTACGAATGCATTTACTTATTCTATTCATTAGTCTCAATTGTACTTGTTTCATGCCTCGGCATGTACATATGTACATAATGTGGGCAGCAAAATTGAGCATAGATGTCCTATAGTAGTTTCATGTCCTTTTGCAGATGAAGTTGATTTACCCAGATGTAGGAGATCGGATATCAGTTTCATAATCCCTGAATGAGTGCTCTACTATTCATGACCACCTCCAAGTCAGAAGGAAGCTTACAAGACTAGACACCACCACCACTAAACAACAAAACAGAAACGTATCCAATGGCCTAAAACTGCCATTGATGCCAAGCCCACAGTCTTTAAATCAACTAGAAAACCACCCAAAGGAGGCAAAGAAAATAATCCTCAGGGCTGACCGCATACTTCAAGCCTATCTTATCGCAGACCTCGGCGGCGATACCCTGAACCTTCAACAAACCACAGCACAGCACCAAAGCAATGCTCTCTCGCCTACACTCGTGGACGTCGTCCCGGACGTTAGCAATCCCGGCCCGACTCTTCAGCCAAACCCCCATAGTCCCCGCAAAACCCCTCCCCCCACGGCTCAAGATCAACGATTCCGACATATCAATATCCTACCTAAAAGGTACCGGGCCTGGCGGACAAAAGATTGTATGTATCAAGTCCCAATCGCCATTCCAGGACTATCACCTCACCTCCCTTTCCCATCTGTTCCCGGAGCCCACCACCATCCCCAAGCAGCAGACCAAAACTAATAAAACCTAGAACAAAACCAACTCAGCCGTTCAAATCATTCACAAGCCCAGCGGGGTGGTGGTCAAATGCCAAGCGACGCGCTCGCAGTCGCAGAACGCGAAGATTGCGCGCTCGCTGCTCGCCGATAGAGTCGAGGCGCAGGAGAAGGGGGATAAGAGTCGGGTTGCGATTAAGGCTGCGGCGGCGAAGAAGAAGAAGGCTAGTAAAATGAAGAAGACGCGGAGGAAGTATCGGGAGCTTGGGGAGGGGGCGAAAGAGGGGGAAATTGAAGAGGAAGAGGATGAGATTGAGATTATATGGGACGATGATGTAAAGGAGGGAGAAAATGAGGAGACTGAATCGGAAACTCGGGGTGAGGCTAAATCCTCCGAAGGGTCGGGAAAGGGTGTATAATGTGAGCATTATCTTGTTGCATGGATTTTGGAATTTTGTATAGTAGGTCTACTACATTGACGTTTGAGCGTTTACTTTTGCGAGATTTACATTCTCATGGATGTTCTTCTAATGGAAAATCAAACAAACATTTATTTCATGGATCTAGTGTCTCATCGCAACCTACATTTGGTGTGGTAGGGGAATTGGGAAAAGGATTGCATTGCTCTGAAGGAGAAAGCAAACACGCGTAAGTTGAACTTTTTAGTATCTTGAAAGGGAATGGGACCATAATAGAATCACCACTAAGAAATGTAACTTGCCAGCACAGTCTTCGACTGGTCGTCAAGGCGCTCCTGAGCGAATTGGGAAATACGGCCATTCTGTTTCTTATCGGCCTCCTTCAGGTAAGAGCCCACCCAAGCCTTGAGGTCGGCACCAGTCTCGGGCCACGGGTCCTTCTGCTGGGCACGGATGGTGTTCAGAGGAGTGAACCCAACACCGAAGGACATGTCTTCGATGTCTGCATCATTAATGAGATCATCTCTGCTTGCGGGCAGCGGCGGAAGCTCCAGGAGCTTGAGCAAGGCGGTGCAGGTAAAGCCCCATCCCTTCTGGCTGTACCGAGTGGCAAAGGCCTCCGAGTTGGCAAGGGTTTTGGTGAAGGAGACGATAGCCGTCTTGCGATCCAAAGGCCGGGCAAGTTTCTGAGTTTCAGGCAGGATGACGTTGACATAGATGGGGGTGAATAGTCTAGCATAAATTAGCATTTGGACAATCTACATAGAGTGAACATACATACCCCTCTTGCACCTTGTCGGTGACCTGGATGACGAAGTCTGCGCTGTAGCCCTTGTTGTCCAGTGCCGAGATGAAGTGGAAGAAGCGAATAAAGCGCATAGTCAGGTTCTCTGTCTTGGAGTTCTGCAGACGTTGAAGAATGATCTGCATGATCATGACAAAGTAATTCTCAAGGGCAGTTCTAGAGCAAGTGAAGTCAGATAACCCGCAATTGGACGCTTGGAAGATGTGATACGTACGGTGGGAAGTTAGCAACAACTGTCTCCAAGAGATCAAAGCCAAAGCTCTCATTAGCCTTGGTAGAAACTAGCTTCTGGAAGATACCAAGGATGGGCTCGATCTGGTTGTGTTCAATGATGAACTGCGAACCACGCGGAATGATCGAGGAAAGTAGCCGGACCAAGGCAGGAATATTTCCCTTCGAGTCCCACATAACGGGCATCAGGATAGGGCCAATAAGCTCCTGGTAGTAGGTGGGAAGGGTACCGGATGGGTTGGCCTCGAGCAGCGCCGCGAAGAGCTGGAAAACGTAGGGCATGAATTCTGAAATTTGTCAGTAAGAGTTCGTTCTGACAAAGATACCGACTTCGTTTGATTTGACTCACCCTGCACGTCATTCTGCAGGATAGCTGCAAAGGGCGCATAAAGAGCCTGCTCGAGCTTGTCGGGATTGGAAGGAGCAGCAAATCTATCATCATGTTAGCTTCTAGCACCTGGAAACGAAAAATGTGTAGCAACATACCGGATGAAGGCGCCCATAGCTTCGAAGTGGAAGTAGTAGAATCGGGGGTTACTTGGGTTCGCGCTGATGATATTGGTGATGCTAATGAAGCGCTGGAGTACGAGATCGGTGAAAGGCACCACGCCCTCCTTGATAACAACCAAAACCCGCATCACGCAACGCATCAAGAACTCATTCTCTTGCACCTTTTCAGGAGCCGGATTACTCTGGATCAGCTGGAAGATGTGCTCAAGAAGATCCTTGGCAAGCGGTGTAATATCAGTGGGTGGAATGACTGCCTGTCCTTGGCTGTCAGTGAGGAAAAGTACTCGCTCCAAGGCAATGGCAGCGTAGGTGTAGACGACGAAGTTCGACGACGCCAAGTGCTTCACCAGGACAGGGAGAACCTGCTGCCACTGTTCCTTGGTAATGATACTGCGGAAAGTGTACAGATACTTGATAGCGTCGACCTTCAGGATAGGGTGGACGCCACCCTCGTTGATAAGATCCGCGGCGAGGTTCTGCTGGAAGTAATTCGTGATGCTGACCAACTGGTTAGTGGCAGTCACACCGTGCGAGGCGGTCGCAGTGCCCTTGGCAGCGATAGCGGAGTAAAGGTACGTCGCTGTGTCCTTGGCCTTCCAGTTGGATGAATCCTTGGCATACTCGGCCAGATAGTGCTGGGTATACTTGAGGACAACCTGGGTCACTGACTCTTCGAATTTTTCTGCCAGCTTGCGGAGGAAATCAGTGGCAGCTCGGCGTCTGGTCTCGCTGTCAGACCCTTCCAAGTCCCGTCGAATGAACTCAATCGGCTCATCCTCGAAGAGTTCTTCGTCGGACTCGCGGAGGCTAACGTTCGGCAAAATGACCTTTTCAACGATCTGGCCCAAGGTTTCCTCGGCTTGGAAAGCAGCAGCATGCTCGGGCATGCCTGCGACAGATGTCAAGAAGTGCAGTGCCCGGCTGACCAAAATATCATACTTGGTCTCCTGGCCAATGGTTGTGAGGAAGTTCCATGAGCTCCCAATGAACTGTCCAACGTGAGGCTGGAACACATCCATGTACTTCTGCACGTAGAGGGTCAAAGCCTCAAAGATACCAGCGCGAACATATTCTAACAGACCAGCCTCCGTCTCCTCGTCGGTGTGGAGTAATTGGTTATCGTAGGTCAAGTATTTGAGGAAGATTGTCGTAATTCCGGGAATGTTGTCTTCGAACATGGGAGGGAGATCGTGGGAGGAAAGGTCGTAAAACAGCTTGACCATCAGGTTGAGCTGAGTGAACCCTTGGGTTAGGTTCTCTTTGTCGGTCTTGTTTTGCTCAAGGTAGTTGTCCAGCGCCTGGGATGTGTTAGCATTCGACCCACGGAAGCAAAACTGGGTAGGAAATTGAAGCTACCTCAAACAGGGCCAGGAACGGAGTACCGAACTTGCCAAGAACGTGGTTGATCTCGGTGTAGAGCGCATCGGACTGGAACAAAGGTCTCCATCTCTTGAAAATGGAGTGTGCGACTTGCAGCACACCAATGTTGACAGTGGGGTTGCCCGGTGACAGCTTCGAGACGAGATCCTGGAGAAAAACAAATTGTCAGAATAGCATTACAATGCTTCGTTGAGTCATAACTTACATCAACCAGAGTATCCCATCGCTCCCAGAAGTCACTGTCGGCGATCACACTAACGGCCTCGCCCAACTGGCTCTGAATTCCCGGCGGAACCGAGATCATCAAGGAGATCAGCTCGCGCTTGAGAGTTGTAACCTCATCCAGCTGCAGCTTGTAATTTCCATCTTCGTCCGTCCAGTTGCGCTTGATGAAATTCTTGAAGCATAGAGCACTAGCAAGACGTGTGTTGTAAGGTGTGGTCTCCGATGCGGTGATGTGAAGAAGCTGTAGCGAGAAACCGGGCTTCTGTTCTTCCTGACGAAGAGTAATCTCGGCTGAAAGGAAAGAACAATCACATCAGTCAAGACTGTTTCAAGTACCCGAGGGTCAACTCTTATAACTCACCAGCCTTGTTTTGTCTGGGGTCCAAGCTTGCCTCTAACAGAGCTCCAAGACCCTCCGCCATCTTGTTACGTGGGGTATCAACACAAATGAGAGGAGATAGACGAGGAAAGGAAAAGAGAAAAATATAGATGGGAACAGGCGGGAATTAAGTATTCAGAAGACTCAAAGGTGAGCAGGAGTGTCCACTAGCACAGAAGGAAAAAGATAGAAGATCCAAAGCTCAAAGATAATAATGCGAGCGCTCAATAAATTGTACCAGCCCACATAAACACTGAAAACACACTAGCCCCAATTGGGTTAGAACATCACATGCTTGAGCCTCTCTGCCTCAAGCACAACGCTTGATTTTCTGAAGGGCACTTTGTATGGAATATAAAAAAGAAAAAGAAAGAACAGATGTATAATTGAAGAGTGGTATTAAGTGGTAAATATTTTTATTTAATTCTCTATATTCATAATGCTTTTTCGTGACAATTACAAACTCCTATGGAACCATCATCTGGAACCATTAATGCTTAGACAACAATGTTGCTAACCCCGTTAGCCAAATCCATCTCCTTGGCTTGAGACAAAGCCTTGACCTGGTCGAAACAGCCGGCTGCGGCAGAAAGGAATCCGAGGAATGGCTTGCTGGGTGCCAACACACGAGAAATGTACTCGGGGTGGAACTGAACACCCACGAACCAGGGGTGGTCCTTCAGCTCGACAATTTCCATGCGCTCACCCTGGTCATCCTTGCCAATGAAGTGAAGACCGGCAGCCTGGAGCTGATCGATATACTCGGGGTTAACTTCATAGCGGTGGCGGTGGCGCTCATCGACAGATGTGCGGTCCAATCCGTAAAGAGAACGGAGCTTAGACCATTCGGAATTCTCCTGGAAGAGGGTAGGACGGGAACCAAGACGCATAGTACCGCCCAGGTTCACCTGGTCAATTTCAGGCATGTACACCACGATCGGATGGCTGGTACGCTCGTCAAGTTCAACCGAGTTGGCACCCTCGAGGCCACAGACGTTACGAGCGTATTCAATCACGGCAATCTGCATACCCAGGCAGATACCAAGGTAAGGCTTGGACTTGGTACGGGCGTGGTGGGCAGCGCGCATCATGCCATTGGTGCCTCTGGTACCGAAGCCGCCTGGGACCAAGATTCCATGGGCAGTGTGGACATCATACCAGGCCTTGTGATATTCCTTGGAGTTGGTCTCCTCCCATTCGGTCTCAAGATGCGAGGCATCAACCCAAATTATGTTGAGCTTTCGGCGGGAAGCCATAGCCGCGTGCTCCAGGGACTTGATGACGGACAAGTAAGAGTCATGGAGAGTGACATACTTGCCAACCAGAGCAATGTTGACAGTTTCGAAAGTGTGCTCCTGCGCGGTGGTAAGGGTCTTCCACTGTTTCCAAGTGGACTGACCCTTAAGCACCTGAGTCTGAGAGATGTCGACCTTCTTCAGGTTGAGGAGGTCGCCCAGAACACCAAGGAAACCTTGCTCCTCAAGAAGCAGAGGGACGTGGTAAGTAGAGCTGACATTGTGCACGCCAATCACCTGCTCAGGCTCAACCTGGCAGAACATGGCGATCTTATCCGTGGTGGCCTTGTCTAGGGGTCTCTCGCAACGGCATGCAATAAGGTCTGGGCTCAATCCAGCTGAGCGAGCGTCCCGGATAGCCTGCTGGGTAGGCTTGGTCTTCAATTCATCGTGGATAACGGGAACCAGAGAAACGTGCTAGAAAAGAGTCAGAATTGGAATCGAATGGTGTGTTAGTTATCAAACATACGATCTGGACGAAATTGTCCTTGCCAGCCCGACGACGCAGCTGACGCAGAGCCTCAACGAAAGGAGCGCTCTCAATATCACCAAGTGTGCCACCAAGCTCGATAACACAAACATCCGGCTCCTCGTTGGTGTCGTCAGCGGGGGTTCTAGCCACACGCTCGATCCATTCCTGGATAGCGTCTGTCAAGTGCGGCACAATCTGCACCGTGCGGCCAAGATAATCGCCGCGGCGCTCCTTCTCGATCACATGCTTGTAGACCTTTCCGGTTGTGATGTTGTTATCCCTTCCAAGGGTAACTCCAAGGTAGCTGGACCGCAGAATATCAATTAGTCTCGGGTTCTTTGACCCATGAAGATAAGAACCTACCGCTCATAGTTTCCGAGATCAAGATCCGCTTCGCCACCGTCGTTCAACACGAACACCTCTCCGTGCCTAAGAAATCATCATCAGGAACCGCATTCATAAATGAGGCCTAAGCCAGCGCATACTCGGTAGGGGCCATTGTTCCCGCATCGACATTCATATAGGGGTCGATCTTGATCGAGGTGACTCGGGCACCCTGAGTCTTCAGCAGCAATCCGGTACTCGAGGCTGGAGAAAGTTAGACCGAGCGGACTTTTTTCTAATTCGATTTATAGAGGTGTACCAATTACGCCCTTCCCGATGCCACTGATGACACCTGTTATACGTGAGTCAGTTACTGCTTGTTCATAAGAGAGCGACTCAGAATAAATACCTCCAGAAACCACGACGTACTTCATCCTGGCGATGGTGGGGATGAAAGACCCGACTGAGACAAGATATTTGAGATTTGATATTGTGTTTAGGAAAGAACGGCCAGTATAACCAAAGACCCTCGAAAAGAAAAGAAATGTAGGGTGCCGTTCCTGGCTTCTGCCAAGGGGGAAGAAAGAATCAAATAATTTTGAAGCTGTAAAAAAACCGCCGTTCCGTGGTCACCGCCCCCCACTTTGATTGACTTTTCTGCCTTCCCGATAACTGTGAGTCATGTGATTTGAACAAATCAAAAAGGGTCTTCAACAGTCACTCGGGAAAACTACATTTGAAGAGCTCATGGCTCCCTCTGTGTAGAGTCTCAAACGCTTCACGCTCAGCAATAACAAAAGCACATCTCTGGAGTAACAAGTCTGAACTTAATCTCGCTCTCACCGCCCTTTCTGCCACATATGCCGGGCGGTGTGAGACATCAGTACTAAGTACATCAGGTGATTGGGCTGGAATATCTTCATCTCCGATGCGTGATTGATACCCCCCTCAATCCACATCACATCGCTTGCTTGTTGTGCCATCGATCTGGCGGGGTATTGGTTCCATTGATATTCATCATCTGATCTTGTTATCCCGGCCCAATTCGCTATCTGTTCCCGACCAGGCTCGTTTGGCACGCCGATATTGATCGCCAAGTACCCATTTGTCGCAGCTTGCTAGGCATCATTTGAGTCCTGGCATGTGCATTTTCTGGTCATAGGACCTTCCTATGTAGTTAGAAGCTCTTATTAGTCAGTTCTAAAGGGTAAGAATTCCCCTACCTGCCCTTCGATGTTGCCTATCATGGATGATGCAATACCTGGACTAACTTGACTGTCAAATAGTTCACAAACCACGTCCTCCTCACTCTATCTCTTTCGGCCACTGGGCGGATGTCTTCCGATGATGTTCCACAGTTCTCCCAGCACAAACCATCGTCAACTAGCTTCGCAGATGTCTTCAAAACTCTAGGTGTCGGTCGACCCAAATCGCATTCCCCGGTCTCATTACAAGAAAGCAGCAGCGACTCGCTGTCTCACACGGATAGTCGCGGAACAAGTCGGCGTGCGCACGGATCTGAATCAATGCATCGTGGCAGTGTCGTGTCGAGTTCCTCGGACACTCCCAGTGGCCTGGATTTCGAGACGTCACTCCACAATCTGTCGCAAAGGCAAAATTTAACACAGGCGATCGAGGAGGCGGAGGGTTTATCGAAAGGTCTTTCATGGTTCAGCTCCGAGCAGTCCGTGGTGCTGTGGGAGGCTGCCGAGTACCTCTTGCATCATGAAAGCTCGGATGCTCAGCAAAGTGGTGCCAGATTATTAGAAACGATCGCAGCCCGTCAAGATCTGTCTCCGTCAGCTAGGCGCCTGGTATTTGAATCGATAGCTTCTCCAACCGAGCCGGAAGTGATTGCTGCACGCGTACAGTCGTTGATCTCCCTATCAGATCATGGTAGGAAATTGGATTTCACGAGTTCTTCAATTCTCCATATTATCTCCTCGTGGATTATTCCGTTCTATGAGACAATTGCGTCTGCACGATCGAAGGCCAAAAAGGGAAAGGTGGTTAAACCACACGGACCTAGTCACGATGAAGCAGTGTTTGGAGATCTCTTCCAATTCGCGGTCGACCTGATCACTTTGCAGCGAAAACAGCCGACCCAGGAGGAAATCGAAATGCTCCTCACAGAAATCTTTACAACTTGCAAGAGGACTAGTGTCGCCGCGGATATAAAAAACTCTTTGGCCGTGTTCGACGCTGTCATTATGTATGCCGATGTGCCTGACATAAGCTTCCCAACTCTTCTGGAAGTCCTTTGCAGCATTCATGCATCAGTCAAGCCCCTCTCTGGGCCCACATCGCGAGCAGTGCGCAGTCTAGCCAAATCACGAAGACAGGCGGAGATGGTAAACACACTCCATGACTTCCTGAGAGATTCGTGCGCCGTCGAACAAAGTCGGAACTTGAATGTTCTCCGTGGTGCACTTTATGTGTTCTCGGATTTTGTTCGTGCTTACGGCCAAGACGGCATGCCCCAGCTTCCCTTTGATCACCTGATGGAATCATTGCAAGTCATCGCCCAAAAAGATGATAGCAGGGTGGATGCCGACCTGTTGGATCTGTGTCTAAACATTCTGGAAGGAGACTACGTTCGAGTCGCATTAGAACGGGATTGGACGGCATTTGTTAATCTTCTCATACTCTGTTCTCGCCGGCTCGTGGACGAGTCAGCGCCATCTCCCACTTCTACAACAAGCCCTCAGGGCAAACCTACGTACGACGAAACCAAATCCTACATTCTGGCAAATCTCATCCGCATTGCTTCTGTTCTTGAATCTCAGTGGGAACAACTCGACAGGGAGCAAAAACAACATGCGGTACGGTTCCTGATGAAGATATACCAGCACATTGAGCCTCCACAGGCTGAACTCATCATCCATTCGATGAGAGAAGACAAAATTTGCCATCCTTCCAACAGCGTAAACTGGGCTCAGCATTGCCGTGAGC